ATAAACCGGTTGTCGAGCAGTAACCCGCATTCGACATCATGCATAGAATCTATGCCACGAAAAGGGATTGCATCACATATAAACCGGTTGAAGACAGCATCTGCAGTTTCCCGCATTTGACATCTCAGTCGTGCTTTTTTTTTCCATTCATGTTCGCTATACAAAACTCCAACAAAAAAAAAGCATGACTTTGCAGGACTATTTCACTGGACTTCACCGACTCGGCTCATCAGGAGGTCAAGCCCACATGAAAAATGTGTGTGCACGTGTCCATTTTCATGTTCGTTATACAAAACTCCAACTGAAAAAAGCAGTTCCAACGGACTGTTTTATCAGACTTTCACCGACTCGACTCGTCAGCAGGTCGAACCCCACATGAAAACTGTGTGCATGTATGTGCGTTTTTATGTTCGCTATACGAAACTCAACCAAAAAACAGCATAATTTCGCCGTACTGTTTCGTCGGACTTTCACCGACTCGTCAGGAGGTTGAACCCAGACAGTCTGCCCAGGATAAGGACTCACTGCATTCCCCCGGAGTTGGCCATAAGGCCCATAACTATGAGAAAAAGTTGTTCAGTTTTCGTCTTTTTTTTTGTGGCAATTTTTCATCATTTCTGGATTTACGTGCGGCATGCTCGCACAGGGGTCATGGCTAATCTTCTCCCTGTCTTTCCTGTTTTACAGGATGCTCACCAGGACCAAGTGGTCGACTTCGGGGACTCTTAAACATCGCACGTCACATCAACCCTGCATGTGTGTTCCCTTTCCTGTTTCACAGGATGCTTCCCAGGACCAAGTGGCCGACTTCGGGGACTCTTAAACATCGCACGTCACGTCAACCCTGCATGTGTGTTCTCTTTCCCGTTTTAAAGGATGCTCCCCAGGACCAAGCGGCCGACCTCGGGGACTCCTAAACATCGCACGTCACATCAACCCTGCGCGTGTGTTCTCATGTTCCCTACAGGCAACTCAACAAAAAAGTTGAAAAAAAAAACTTTCTAGTATGTGCCAGACTCTTTCTAGGCACTTTCAAAGTCTGATCAGGACGTTGAACCCATCAGGGTGTGTGCGAGCATGCATCATATCTTTGGTATCGTGGACAAGTTTTGCATTCTTGCTCCCGAAACTCCATAAAATCCTAATAATTTTTCTCATTCTTGGAGAGCCCAAAGAAGAGGGGTAGAATACTCTAGCATGGGTGGTTAATGCAAGCAGATGTTTTAAACCACCAGTACTTCCTAAAGTCGTGCCCGTTAATGCGCCACGATTTAGGAAGCGTACCGGCCACTACAGGAGCACCCAAATTCATCCAACTAGAAACGTTTCTACTCTATTTTTTTCCGCGGCCGATAGCTGGGCCAAGTACTGGTGGTTTAAGATCCAGGTAATCCGCAAAATAACACTCGTATATGTTGAACTCGCACCACTTTTTGGTCTTCGCCCTGCTACCATCATCCCCCTCGTACTGCTACCATCATCTGCTGAATAGAATGCACGGTCATTACAGCCATATTTGGGACCGCATTTTCCAGATCACGGCGCGGCTTCACCAGCAGCCAGGCCGAAAAGGCCACCGCCGGTACTTAGGACTGGCCAGCGGTCTGTTCGGGACAGACTCGGTGGCGCAGCATTGAGGAAGCAGCGCTGCACTATTTTGGTTAGCACAGCTCCACGCAGCAGCGCTGGGTCTAGCGCTAGCTGTAGAGGCGAGAGAGAGACAGAGTAGCGACTTACCTGGCACTTACCTGTGAGCGCCATAGCTCCAGCAGCAAGGGCGAGTCTTCAGCAGCTCCAAGGCGGCAACCTTGCACCTGCAAGTTTGTGCCTGGACACTGGATCAGGGCAGCAGGATCTTCCTCCGCCCCACCTCTCAATCTCCACCTTCTCCTTGGCCCCTCTTGGTCCTTCTTCTTCTTCTTCTTCTTCTCCTAACCTTCCACCTTCTCAGTTACTATGATGGTGAGATATCGGTGACATCAAGACTCAGACTATTTCAAAGTAGAAGGTTGGGAGGACTGTTTGGAGATCTGTTACCAACGGCATTTCGAGATTCTGTAACTTCGACATTCCGAGAATTCTGTATCTCCGACATTTCGGATTACTATTTCGGTGACTTTGTGTCGGCGCCATCTCCTCTTCCTCCCTTCGTCTCTTCCCCCTACATTCGTCCGTGTGTGTTGTGTACAGGCCCTAGCACATCTTCTATGTTTGAGCACCAGGCCTTCTCACCCGATGAATGTATATGTGTGTGAGCCTGTGTATAGTCCGAGTCAGATGTGAGACAGATCCATGTTTTCAAGTCTTCCGCTGCATTATATTGCTCTTTGTAATGGTCCGTTCTAGGTTCTGCATCATACTTGGGTTCACTTTCACAAGTAAGTTTGGTATCGGAGCAGACCAGATTGGACCTGCTCACAGATAGACCGATCAATTGACTAATCAATCGATTGATTGGCCATTCGGGAATTCCCATTGGTTGATTGATTGATTGATTGATTGGCCGATGTAGTTCTGACTAGTAAGAAGCAGAAAGTTGATTGTTTGGTCGATCAAAATTGTTTCCTTGTCAGATCTGCAGTTGTCATCAATTTTAAAGTTGCAAATTTTTTTATTTTTCTGAAATTCGGTAAGAGCTAAACATCGCATTCTTGCAATCTGGAAATTTGCGTTAATTAGGGTTGACACCGGAAATTTCGCGGAATTCGCGGAATTTTAGGTTGGGAAGTCCCGAAATTTTCGGGAATTTTGTTTTCCTTTCAGTTTGCATTTATCGGTAGCCCGCTTACCTCCGTGAATTCCAATGCTGGAAGGTCCGGACAGTTGCAGAACTGCAACTTCCCGGAAGTTTCACCTGCAATCAAGTGCAAGGAATATGATTGTGAACGATATACAGAAAACCAAGTTGCGAAATCACACAGCTGTCCAGATAGTCGTATCCAAGCAGAGAGTACAAAATGCACCGAGAAACCATCCATATAGAGCAATACAATGAAATAATGAGCCAATGTCCAAGCCCGTAGGCCACACAAACACAGTATCCAAAGTCGCTCCTCTCTGTCTAGCGCCCAGCGCCCAACCTACTCTGCCTGACTATCCTACCTACAGCTGGTTCACGCCACAGGCTCACTTCGACTCTCGAAGACCAATGTACATGACTGTCAACTCCATAGCCAACCTCTCTTCATGCACCAGGTACGTATCTCGTCACCCTCAATCAGACCTTGATTACCCCACACAGCGCCTCCTTCCCTGAAGACCACCAGATCACCCTCTGTACCCCCTGGCGCCCAGCAGCCCGGCTATGGCTGCCTACGCCCCGCTGCCCTGCAGTGCCCCTCCTCACCTCTACGCGCCCCGTCAGCGCCTTTGGCAGCAGCACAGCATCAAGTGAGAGCGCAGCAGCACTTCCGCATTGCCAGCACTGGCCCGCATGCCTGGCCTGGGCTGCCTCACTCCTTTTGTGGAAGTGGCAGCCTCCCGGATGCTGCGTGTGGCCTGGCTGGAAGCTTCCAGTAGCTTCCGGTTCAGTCCCAGACCCTGCGCCCAGGCCCGAGACTACAGTTGAGGGGCTGGGCCCTTTGCAGTTAGGCACGGCCTGAGTCTCCGGACTTTGGCTGTTTGCTGCATCCGTGCAGGGCTCCCAGGCAAGTGTGTCAGCACTACTGCCTTTGCAAAGGCCGATGGCCTGCTTCTCAATGTATCGGTCCTGCTTTATGTATGTGTGCCCAGGCGCAACTGTCAAGGCCTGGGCCAACTGTATGACGCAGCAATGTGAGGCTCACGTGTCTATCCAACCAACTGGCGTGCTGCGGGAGCCTGAATACCCACATATGGAAATGTTGAATTTTGCCTTTGACGAATATTCAGGCCCACCTTCACTTACGGCGGGCACTTGGCTCGCTGGGGGCATTGGCCCAGAACAATGTGATGTCTGATAGGGCCCCTTGAGGACTTGTTCCTCACACAAGTTCAAAGTTGGCATTTTTGCTTAGGGGTTGCAGGCAGCAAACTTTCGGACCACTACTTGATCTCGGATTGACATCTAATTCCCGACATATTCATTTATCTCAATACTTTTATTAAGTGAATTAATAAATTTTAAATTATTTTCAAAAATATTGTCCCGGGGAAAAAAAATTCCTATTGATTAGTGTGTCAGTCCACATTGGGGATTCGGGAGCTGCATGCTTGTCTGTTCCCTATCCCCTGTTCCCACCGCTTGTTCTCCTCTCCCGCTCATGGCCTAAGGACACTGCCGATAGCAGTTACTGCAGTTCCCTGCAGCAACTCATGTCAGCAGGTCAGCGACCTGTGGTACTTCCTTGACACAGTCCTCGGATGGCAGCTCTTCTCGGCAGACAACAGCAGATGGCAGCACGCATCCCGACACCGACAGTACCAAGGAGGCGGCGAACAATGGTCCTGCCAGCATTTCCGGTCCAAGGGGCCAACGAGTCGTCCAACACATTCCTGCACTGCGTCCAGGCCTTCATTGACCTTGCCGCTGCCGAACAGGAGCGGATTGCCGCTGCGGCCGGTGAACAACAGAGGCTGGCTAAAGAATCAGCCGCTGAGCAACAGAGGCTGGCCAACAAGGCTGCCGCCGAGGCAGAACGGTTGGCCAAAGAGGCAGCCGTCCAAGCGCAGCTCCAGTGGGAAGCCGCCGAAGCAGCGCAGCAGCAACAGCGTGCCACAAGCACACAGATCCTACACAAGGAGGAGCAGCACTTCAGCGAACTCCTCATGGTGTGGACTTTTGTGCCAACAGCCGTTCGATCAGTACCAACAGTGGCGGAACAGGAGAGAACAGAATTGGGTTACTTACTCGAGCACTTGTTACACATGGTGAACTGGCAACAGGAGTAGTTGCGGCATCACGCGCAGGCAGCATACCAGCAGCAGCAGATACTAAAAGCTGTTGTGACTGACTGCAAGACACTCACAGAAGCGATCAATACTGCCAAGGCACAGCAAAGGCAACTCAACGACGCACTTACCGTACGCCTGAGTACGGTTGAAGCGCAGGCCCATGCACCAGCAGCTGCGCCAATAGGTTCATCAGCAGCCGGCCAGCAATGGGGCCCGCGTGGCAGCGATCAAAAGTACAGCCGCCACCACCACTCAGCGAATTGATCACATCATCAGCTTGATTGGTGAGGTGGGCCAGTTCGAGGCTCCCGCGACGCTCAGCAACCAAGTGATGGCACTCAGAACCGAGCTGGGTCATCTGAAGTCAACACCGGACAGCGGCAAGCCGTACAGGATGACCAAGTTCAACGTAGCCAAATTCGACAATTATCACAAGACCGACGCATTGGCTTGGTGGACCGCATTCGATACGGAGGCAGACGTGCATCACGTTCCTGACGATCAGCGCCTCAACGCGCTGTACCTCCAGCTGATTGGCGGCAGCCAGGCCTTCATGAACAATTTGGCATTGCAAAAGGCCTGTACGATCGCAACACTGCACACCAAGATTACTTGGGAAGAGTTTGAGCAGCTGTGGCAGACGCGATTCATGGTCCGGAGCGTGAGAAAGACGGTCATGAACGAGCTCTACCATTGCAGCCAAGGCACTATGCCTACCCGAGAATGGTTGACGAAGTGGCAAAAGTTTGTGACCACTCCGAAATTCAACCTCGATCTCAAGGATTTGAGATCCGAGTTCTTCTCTCGGTCATGTGACGGGTTGACCACGGCTCTCGGCAACGAGCTGCAGTACAAGACCTTCGACTCAGTCATATCAAGAACGAACATTCTCATACAAACGGACCAGCGAGCGGCTAATGAAAGTCGTCAACAACAGCCGGCAAATGTGGCAAAGCCAGGATTTCAGCGGCACAATGTAAATGCAGTCCAAACCGGATCGCAAGAAGACCACGCCGCTGCAGCAGCCTCTGGTGAAGGAGATGTTGTAGCAGCGATCACTCCTCGATGCACACGAGCTCGAAAGAAGAAGGCGAATACCCAGGCGTCGGAAGGAGCTGGACAGCAACCGCGGACGCAGTATCACATTAGCGAGGAGGTTTATCACCTCCACCTGAAGTACAACTACTGTCTTTGGTGCAACAGCGTCAAGCACGCGACCGCCCAATGCACGGACAAGGTCAAACCTAGTGGGCCTCGTCCAAACAGCTCGGGAAACCAAGCACCGCAAGGAGTGCAACGACGGCTCTCCCCACTCCGCCCGAAACAGTTGCCTTGCTAGCAACCGACTTCATCTCTGGGGAACATGCGGTAGTCGATGACTCTCGTATTACTTCCGAGGATTATGCAGTCCAGCTGGTCCCACCGTTGAACCAGCCTAGTCACGTCCATGAAGATAGCGTATGCGCAGCTTGTGCACCGTCAACAAGTGAGCCGGTGTTTTCGCCTGCACATTCCGAGGACTCGTCGGCGTGGTCAAGACTTCAGGATCTCGATCCGCTAACGATAGAGGACTTCCAATGGTTGTCTCTTCCCTCGACCACATTCTTGCCCAAGCCGCATTGCAATGCCTTAATGGCCAACCTACGCGCTTACTTGCACGCTGCAGTACCAGCTCCGTTGACGGACGACGGAGTAGCGGTTGTCGACATTGGCACCAATCTTGTGAACATCGACCGCGAGCACGCCTCTCCTCTATATCCGCATTCAGATCGGAAAGGCAACCTGCAGTGCCTTGATTGGTTGCGAAGCGTCTCGCAACTACATGAGCCAAGCCTTTATGGCCCGCGCTGGCCTCGGCCCCCCTCGTTCGAAGGAAAACGCAGCCAACGCATGTAACACTCGTGGATGGACACACGCAAAAGTCAATTGACCGATGCGTTGATGGCGTCCCGGTTTACTTTGCCCCACTTGCGTGCAAGCCGGTGTCTTTGACATCCTCGACACCAAGTTCGACATGATTCTAGGCATGACTTGGTTGCGTAGCGCGGACCACCCGGTGAACTTCCATAACCGCACCATTCACATCCGTGATCGGAATGGTGAGCTAGTCCCGTGTACGGTCCCACCCCCTCACACTTCGATTGGTTGCCACGTGGTCTCTGCGGCGAGGATTCGCGATGCTATTACTCGAAACGACATCGATGAGATGGGAATATGCTTCTTGCATGCGATTCCTCCGACGAACGGACCGAAGACATCGCCGCCGTACCCACGTATTATTCAGCTCTTAGATGATTATGGAGATGTTTTTGCAGCCCCCGCCGAAACGGCCCCGGATCGGCCCATACGTCGCGGGATTACTCTCGAGGACGGTGCCGTCCAAATGCACCGCTCATAACGGTGATATTGTAGGTTCAAGTCCTACTAAGCCTATCCGGATTCTGGGTGTATAGCTTAGTTGGTAGAGCATTGGGCTTTTAACCTAATGGTCGAAGAGGAACTAGAGGTGCTTCGCGCACAACTTCATGATCTCTTAGACACGAAATAATAACGCCACGAAGTGGGTTACACATGCTTATACTCCTTTTAGGCAACTAACTTATATACATATTCCCTCCGCGCGGATGTATTTACCGAATGACCAAAGAGGAACTAGAGGTGCTTCGCGCACAACTTGATGATCTCTTAGACAAGGGTTGGATTCGCCCAAGTTGTTCGCCCTACGGTGCCCCGGTTCTCTTCGTCTGGAAGAAGAACAAGGATCTCCGGTTGTGCATAGATTATCGAAAACTCAACGCACAAACCGTGAAGAACATCAGCCCTCTCCCTCGGATTGATGAGCTCCTTGAGAGATTGGGCAGCGCCACATACTTCTCAAAGTTGGACTTGAAGTCTGGTTACCACCAGATTGAAATCAGCCCCAAGATCGGTACAAGACCGCCTTCAAATGTGGTATGGGCATTTTGAATGGGTCGTAATGCCATTCCGCCTCACCAATGGCCCGACGACTTTCCAAGCAGCCATGACGACTAAGTTTTGAGACCTACTTGACCGCACCGTACTCATTTACCTCGATGACATCTTGGTTTATCGTTGAACGTTTGACGAGCACCTTCGCGTTGTTCTCGAAAGGCTTCGCAAGGCCAAGTACAAAGCGAATCGCAATAAGTGCGAATCCGCACAGCAAGCGCTTGAGTACTTGGGCCATTATGTTACACCCAAGGCATTCGTCCCTTAGCGGACAAGATCCAAGCCATCGTGGACTGGCCGGAACCCCGTACTATTACGGACGTACGCTCGTTCATGGGTCTGGCCAGATATTATCAGTGTTTCGTCGACTCTTACTCCAAAGTTGCGGCACCATTGTCGAGGCGTCAATCTTTGAAGGTACGATTCGAGTTCGACGACGCAGCCCGAACTGCATCTCAGCCGTTGAAGGACGCGATACTAAGCGCTCTCGCCCTCCGCATTTATGATCCCACCTTACGTACCCGAGTGACTACGGACGCTTCTGAAACAACATGACGGTGATGATTGGCACCCGGTCAAGTACTTCTCCCAAAAAGTGTCCCTCGTCCATTCTCAGGATGATGCTCGGAAGAAAGAGTTGTTGGCTTTCATCACCATTCTCAAACGATGGCAACACTTTCTTCTCGGGCGTCGACGTTTCACATGGAATACGGACAACAATCCGTTGACCTACTATAAGACGCAGGACATGGTCACAAGCACGATCGGTCGATGGATGTATTTCATCGACCAATTTGACTTCAACCCCGTCCATATTCCAAGCCCCGCCAATCGAGCAGCGGATGCACTATCACGGCGACACAATCTGTGTGCCTTATTGCCCAATACATTTCAGCTCGACGACGATTTGCAGCAGCACTTCGTCAAAGGTTACAAGTCCGACCCAAAGTACTCAACACTTTATGCAGATCTTTCATCAAATCACCCGCCGCCAGGGCATTATTGCATCTTCGACGGGTATTTACTTCTCCATACGCGAGGGAAGGGCTTGTTATGTGTGCCACGTGATCGCATCTTGCGTACTCGCCCTATTGGCGAATTCCACAACTCGCGACTCTCGCCACACCTTGGCGTCACCCGTACTTTGGCACGTCTTCGCCAGCGTTTTCACTGGGAAGATGTCCTTCACAACGTCAACAAATATGTGCAGTCATGTGCAGTTTGCCAACGCAACAAAGGACGGCATCAACTTCCTTATGGCGAACTCGAACCAATGTCGATTCCGCAAGAACCGTGCATTTCCATTGCTATGGATGTTACCGGCCCGTTTCCCCGCGATAGCCTTGGTCATGATCACATTCTCACGGTCGTTGACCGTTTGAGCAAGTACGCCAGATTTCTTCCTTGCAAGTATCATGCTGCAGCGCCAAAGCTCATCCGACTCTTGCACACAGGCTGGATTTGCAGCCATGGTATTCCAGAAGACATCGTGAGCGACCGCGATACTCGCTTCATATCGACATTTTGGACATCCCTCATGGTTGAATCCGGCACGACAATGAAGCCGAGTTCCGCTCGGCACCCTCTGACGGATGGACAAACGGAGCTTGCAAGACTTTTGCACACAGGCTGGATTTGCAGCCATGGTGTTTCAGAAGACATCGTGGGCGGCCGCGATACTCACTTCATGTCGACATTTTGAACATCCCTCATGGTTGAGTCTGGCATGACAATGAAGCCGAGTTCCGCTCGACACCCTCAGACGGATGGACAGACGGAGCAGGCACATCAAACCGCCCCAATGATGCTTCGTACTCTCATCCGTTCGGACCAGAAAGATTGGGTTGACCGCCTTCCGGGTATCGAGTTCGCCAACAACACTTCAGTGCACCCGACGATCTGTGTAACTCCATACTAGTTGCATCACGGCGGACAGAAAGGACGTTTCTTCGATGATCTTCTCCTTTCCCTGGCCGCCGACATCGATGTCTCTTGCTCTCCGCTTCTATTTGGAAGTACAGGGACTTGCTGATCAAAGCCCGAGCAAACATGCAAAAGGCTCAGGTCCGCATGCAACAGCAAGCTAACCGACGTCGTCTCCCATGTCCTTTCCGTAAGGGTGACCTTGTTTGGGTCCTCGCGGAGGAATTCGTGCTTGAGTAGGATGTCTCTTGCAAGCTCCTCCCCAAATGGTTTGGACCATGGAAGGTAACTTCTGCAACCGGCAATGATCCTGCAGGCTCTTATTTTGTGATCAACATCCCGCCGCACCTCACTATGTACCCGGTCTTTCATGCATCGAAGTTGGCAATCTACACACCACCTTTGACTGACGAGGTTCCAAGCAGACGATCACAAGATCTGCCCTCCACAGACGGACATCAGGAAGCTGACCGTGTCATCACGGACTGCAAATATGGCAACAAACCAATGCAGTACCAAGTCACATTCAAACAATGTGACCCTGATGACACTCGCTGGATCTCCCGAGCACATTTACAGGCATCTGCACCACTCATCTTCTTTGAATACGAACGACGACAACTTGCCAACGACAAAGTTCGTCCCTCCCAACCCACCCAGGTATTGGACAGACAACTTTGCCCTCGCAAGGGGGAGTGCGTTACATACTGGATTCCACACGGGCCCTATTAGGCCCGATGACTAGGTCTAGGGGGTTATCCCAGACCGTGGCCATGCAGGGCCAGTCCGGCCTGGGTTAAAGGCCGGACTTTTGGAAAGGCCGACGGTGGGCCCCAGCAAACCGGTTTTAGACCCGGGCCTGCAATTGCAGGCCCTGAGCGGGAAACCGGCCCAAACGTTTTTCGATTGAGCTCGGCGGCCGAGGATTGAGGCTGCCACTTCCCGCGGGTCTGATCTGAACCGCCGATTGACTGGATCGGTCCAGATCACGGCGCGGTTTCACCAGCAGCCAGGCCGAACAGGCCACCGCCGGTACTTAGGACCGGCCAGCGGTCTGTTCGGGACAGACTCGGAGGCGCGGCATTGAGGAAGCAGCGCTGCGCTATTTTGGTTAGCGCAGCTCCAGGCAGCAGCGCTGGGTCTAGCACTAGCTGTAGAGGCGGGAGAGAGAGAGAGAGTAGCGACTTACCTGGCACTTACCTGTGAGTGCCATAGCTCCAGCAGCAAGGGCGAGTCTTCAGCAGCTCCAAGGCGGCAACCTTGCACCTGCAAGTTGGTGCCTGGACACCGGATCAGGGCAGCAGGATCTTCCTCTGCCCCACCTCTCAATCTCCACCTTCTCCTCGGCCCCTTTCGGTCCTTCTTCTTCTTCTTCTTCTTCTTCTGACCTTCCACCTTCTCAGTTACTATGATGGTGAGATATCGATGACATCAAGACTCAGACTACTTCAGAGTAGAAGGTTGGGAGGACTGTTTGGAGATCTGTTACCAACGGCATTTCGAGATTCTGTAACTTCGACATTCTGAGAATTCTGTATCTCCGACATTTCGGATTACTATTTCGGTGACTTTGTGTTGGCGCCATCTCCTCCTCCTCCCTTCATCTCCTCCCCCTACATTCGTCCATGTGTGTCGTGTACAGGCCCTGGCGCATCTTCTATGTTTGAGCGCCAGGCCTTCTCACCCGATGAATGTATGTGTGTGAGCCTGTTTATAGTCCGAGTCAGATGTGAGACAGATCCATGTTTGCAAGTCTTCCGCTGCATTATATTGCTCTTTGTAATGGTCGGTTCTAGGTTCTGCATCACACTTGTGTCCACTTTCACTAGTATGCAACATTCCCTCTCAGAACGGCACTGCCCAGCAGGGCTCTCTCGCGCATCCTACTCGCAGATAGCGCACAAGCACTTCAGCAGCACTCCCACCCTTCTCACGAATGAGCAATCTCCCCTGAAATGTGGCTGGCCAGTCCTTATATCGACCTTGGACTGAGCCTCAACTCGTCCCGGCCTTTGCTTCCTTTGGCTGGATTTGGACCGGGTACCACATGCCCACGGCCTGCTTGCTTCAGAATGTCAAGGCCTGGTGCTTCACCAAATTTTCATTGGTGTGCTGCTGCTTGGATCTGTGAGTCACGCCTTCTCACCTGTGGAACATGACTTTTGATTGTGGGATGTGACTCTTGCCTCTGGAACACGACTTTTGCCTGGAGTAGTGTGCTTTGCCTGTGGGATATAATTTTTCAATATGACTTTTCCATATGAGACGTGACTTTTGCTTATAGAACGCAACCTTTGCCTCTGCGATGTGACTGTTCACCGGGTGCCTGTTGGACTTCATGGACTTCACTCCTAAGGTACCCGACTGTGACCTTTCTGATCTGGCCGACTTGGCCTCCCTTGGTCTGCGACCTTGACCCTGAAATTCGAATTTGGGGTCTGCATCGTGGAATGCCTTTAGTCCCTGTAGGATAGCCGCCACCCTTGATCCTATACTATACTTGGCTATTACCTAACAAAAGGCATACCATACAGAGCCGAACCTATGGCTATATCCGGCCCCATCCCTGACCCTATAGCTGGCTATTACCTAGCAATCGGCATACTATACAGTTTCGAACCTATGGCTATCTTCCTGTAGGATCGGCCCCATCCCTGACCCTATAGCCGTGGCTATCACCTAACAATAGCCATACAGTTATAGTTCCGAGCCTATGGCTATTTCCCTGTAGGATGGGCCCCATCCCTGATCCTATAGCTGGCTATTACCTACCATAAGGCATGCTATATACTTCTGGACCTGTCCTATCTCCCTATAAGACTGGCCCCATCCATGATTCTATAGCTGGCTATTACCTACCATAAAGCATCCCTATAGCTGGCTATTACCTATAGTTCCGAAGCTATGGCCAAGCCCGAGTCCGCAGTCCGTACCTTCAGGCCCTATCTTGGGTATCCTTCATGTGGTGTGCAACCAAGTGACGGACGACCATTCTCAATTCCAATGGACGACCATCCACCCTATTCATTGGATCGTTGCATGTGTAATTTGCGACAATTTGTGTAATTTGGGACAACTTTGTGCAATTTGGGACAACTTTGTGTAATTTGGGACAATTTGCAACAATTTGTGTAATTTGGGACAATTTGTGTAATTTGGGACAATTTGTGTAATTTGGGACAATTCCATGTTTGATAGTTGATACCATAACACGTCAAAACCTGGTTCCACTATAGGTGTCATCATTCCAGGTCCCATCACAAATCCATGATCAGTTCCATCATTCGCATCTTTATCAACCAACAACTACAGGTTCCAGTTCCTATCGATAATCTGGGACAATTCCAGGTTCAACACAACTGATCCCATGACACAGTGTAAACCTGGTTCCACCATAGGTATGATCATTCCAGGTCCCATCGCAAGTCCATGATTTGTTCCATTCTTTTTATCCTTATCAGCAACAACTGTAGGTCCCATAATTCCACTTCCCATCGATAATTTGGGACAATTCCAGGTTCAACACAATTGATCCCATAACACAGTGTAAACCTGGTTCCACACAAGTCAATGATCAGTTCCATCATCATATTATCCTTATCAGCAACAACTACAGGTCCCATCTTTCCAGTTCCCATCCATCATACCAGTTCCCATCGGTCCCCTCATTTCTCCTATCCAAAATAGGCCCCCATCATCCCACCTCCGATCACAAGTCCATGATCGGTTCCATTACCATTTATCTTATTACCAATAGGTTCCATTCTCCCAGGTCCCATCACGAGAGTCCACAATCAGCTCTCATTATCTATAATCTTACTTGCACTATCGTCCCCTCATGCTATGGCCTCCATGTGCCGCAATGACCCCAAAGGTCGGACACCAAAAGAGCCCCCTCTCTCCCTCGCCCGCTCCCCCTCTCTAGCCCCTTCCCACGCTCCCTCCCCCTCCCTAGCCCTCCCCCTCCCTTGCTTCTTCCCTTCCTTGCCCCCATATCTAAAGGAAAAATAGCGGTCCATAATAATGAACTCCTGCAACACCTCCCTCCGAACACCTAGAGACTGCTGCCTTGACCACCCCCATCGCTGGCACTCCTTCAATCCATCGCAAACTACCCTCCTCCTCCTCCTCCTCTTCCTCCTCCTCCAATCCATCGCACCCTACCTTTCAACGAATCCCAGTCTTCTCATTACGAGTTCTTACTCCCCTCCTCCTCCTCCTCCTCCTCCTCCTCCTCCTCCTCCTCCTCCTCCTCGTCATCATCATCATCATCATCATCATCATCGTTATAATGAGATCTTACACTCCTACTCATCATCATCATCGTTACCAACACCATCGACGCTATCTTCACAATCACCGGTCTCCATCTCATCTCCTCCTCCTCGACATCATCCAGCTAACTCTCTGTCGAATTCTTATTACTTCGTCTTTCTCCTGTATTAAACTCCTTCCCCTCCTCCTTTCCTACATCTTACCCGCCACTACCAGCGTAGTCGTCCTCCCCGTCATCTTCCCTTTCTCGTTGCCATACCCTCTTACTCCGCTCTTCGGCTCCTCCGCTCCTCATCGACAACGTCAGTTCCCCCCCCCTCATCATCAATCTCGTCCCCATCCCCCATGTCATCATCTTCTATAAATCACTCCCCATCCTCCTCTTCATCGTAGACATCACCCTCCCCATCCTCCTCTTCATCGTCCATTTCCGATAATCCCACTCTTCCTTTTCCTCATCAATCATCCATCATCAATCACTCATAAGTTAATCACCATCAATCAAACCATAAATTAATCATCATCAATCACATCATCAATCATGTCGTGAAACAAATAGTCATATCACTCGTCACTAATCAAATCATCAGTCCTATCATTAGTCTAGTCATCAATCAAATCATGAGTCAAACCATCCGCCTAATCATAAATAAAAATCACCATCGCCGCCGCCATAACTATCATCCGCTTCTCCTTCAAATTTCCAGGCATGTCTATAACGAGGGGGATCACATATCTCGAAATCACGTTCAGCTCGTCAGGACCACGAAACCCATGATGATGGGCGGTCGTAGACACACCTTCGTTCCTCCCTTCCTCCATTCCTCCCTTCCTCCCTCCCTTCCTTATTTTCCTTCTTCCAAACTCCCCACCACGGCCATTACAGACACATTCCTTCAAATTGAACATCCGCTCAAATTGATGAGACGGGTCGTGCCAGACACGGACATCCGCTCAAATTGGAAAACGACAGAGACAGAGAAGACTAATTAGCATAGCCCCGGCGCAGGCAACAGGGAGGACGGGAGGGGAAAAGCGGACAGAAGGGGGGGGGGGG